AACAAAAAAACGATATTATTAAATTAGTCATTTGTATACCAATATAGTATTCTAATTATATGTTGCATTGAATATGATACAGTAAACGTACCATAAAAATTTAATTTTACATTGAGTACATTTTTACAACACTAAATTCTTTAAGTATTGAATAAATTAAAAGAAAAAGTTGAATAATTTATTTCTGTTTTCAAATACAAAAACAGCTAAGAATTTGGAAAATGTGTGGGTGTAAATTACTATCCGAATATATACAAAGCTTTTGGAATGAAATTAAAATCTCTAAAGAATTATCCAAAAAAAAATTAACTTAAACCCAATTATGATGAAAATCTAAAAAGCCAAAGTTTCAAAAGTTTGAAATAATGTCGGTATATACTAACAAAATCAAATGGTATTTTTAACGATATTAGGAGAAAAAAGCTGTGATCGTCACTTTTCTATAAGATGATTTTCAGAAATAAAAACATGTTAAGCCTAAAAAATTATTTGTTACAAAATTGTTAGCAGTAGTTTTAAATTGTAACAATACATTACGTATCTATCTACTCTTATATTCAAAACTGAAAACGGGCATCTAAAATTTAGGCGGAGAAAAGCGATTTCCATATCAATGCATCATAACTTTTTTTTAAATCTGAAAAATCATGTACCATTATTTTTCATTATTGGATATACTGCATTTTCTAGCTCTATGGTTTCTATTTTTTTATAATCCTCAATATATATTTATACTAAAATATTAATAGTGTTGATTAATTGCCACATAATATTTGTTATTTGTTGAAATTAATTAAAGTCGAAACAAATACCGATTAGATTTTTTTAAACCTAAAATTTGTCAAAAAGTCATATCCATTTCACTGCTCTCAACAGAAATATCACTTAAAATTAAATATTAAATAATAGGTATCGTGTTTTACAATGTTATATTAGTACCATTTTAGTTGAATTGCCATTGAAGTAGAAAAAAATATGAACGAAAACGGCCTATTGTTTAAAGCGGTAAAGGTGACGTTCGTGTTTATGGTCGTAGGACATTAGGTTACCAGGAAGGTTGTGGAAAGGGGTGGGAGAGATTGGCAAAAACAAGAGTCGCGTAGATGTGAAGTCATTAAAAACAACGGCTATTATGCATTTCACCGGTCGCGTGCCAGTAAGTATAGTGTTCGTACACCCTATTCACTATTGCACCTACATAGCCAATGGCCGACGGGTGGGAAGTTTAAGGCAGACTTTCCTTCTAAACAATGAAAAGAAAAAAAAAGTAGAAGGAAATCATTTCTCGTGCACGGCGAGGGGTAATTTGGCTAACCCCAGTAATTTATTGGAGGTATTTCACCTAATATTAAGTCGAACCGACACCTTACACCTATATTCAAACCGACCATAGGCGTGGTTTAATACTGATGATAAATTGTTCATGCATTCAAAAGTAGAGGAATACTCGAGACTTTATGATATTTTTGAATGGATTATTACGAGGGAAATAATTACATAGATTGAAAGTTAATGGGGTATGCATTTATATGTGTCATGATCTTTTTTCTTAAAACTTGAACTACACAAAATTGAATTGAGTAATTTATGCTTTTATTATTATAATTATTTGTATTCGTTTAATGTTTATAGCTGTATAAATGTATAATATACATTATACTTAAATTATAATTTACATTTATATCTACTACGTTTACCTAATTACCTACACTAAATTCGTATTTATTTTAATATAGGAATAAATTCCTTAGAGAACTGCCTGAAAGAAATAAAGCGTATTTATCATAAAAAACTAACTCTTAACTTATTTAAAATAAGTAGATAATAAAAAATAATAATAAATAATAGGTATCTATAAATCCCAAGTATTGGTTTCGCCTATCAATGTCTTCCAGGATACTCAAAATACATAAAAATGTTCTATTATTATTATTACTAGGCATTATTAATATTATTGACGCATGCCTGTCTGCCTGATTAGTACTGATTAATACACCCTACATCGACAAACTAGTCTCTGAAAAAGCCAATTATTTAGTTTCTTAAACTTCAAAAATATAGAATTTGGGGCATTCAGCATAACTAATGTTCAAATTATTCTATGAAATCATTATTTGTTACTAATGAGTTCTTAACAATCAAACACAATATTTACAGCTAGTTGTTAAAAAGTATAGTTTATTTACAAGACCATAAACTTGGATGATATACAAAAAGAAGCGATCCAATCAATGTACTTCTACTGATCAAAATAAAATTATATGTAAAGTGTTTGTCAATTTAGCATATTTCTGTTATTGGAGAGATCTCCTCACCAGTGACCTTTTTGTTTACAGGAAGATTAAATGGGATAAAAAAGCCAAAAAGAGAAATAAAAGATTAGGATTGTTTCGGTAACTAAAATTAAGTCGTTCGAAGATGTTGAAACAAAGAAATGTAATTATTTTTTGAGATAAGATTGTTTATTATATAATGTAGTCAGGGATAGACAAAATAAACAATTTTTATAGGTACTTTGAATACAAAATATGAATTCCGTAGGTATTTAAAAAGTAAATTAAAACATTTGCATTCGTATTAGGAGAAATATTGCTGCTCAACTGCTTAACCTAACCATTTTAGTCTGGTATCGATACTGTTAAAATTATTGTGAAACTATATGAATACGACCTGTAGGTATAGTGTTAGAGTGTTATAATAATAATAATAATAATTAGAGTATTTATTATGTTAACCAATTATAATTGATAATTAACAATATCCTATATTATTCACTAAATTAAAAAATATTATCAGCTTTTAAAAGTATTAACTTTTTCAGTATTTTCTAATTTATTAGTTTGAATTAATTGCATGCATTGAGTTATTCCAGAAAATTAAAATTTGTTTTCAATATAACTATAAAGACAATAAAGAGCCGATAATATTTTTGGTCCTTTTTCTTAATTTAGGACATTTTTTAATAAGTCAATAATAACTTAATAAATTATTACATATTGATGTACATTACTTCAATTTTATTAACATAATATTTACATACAACAATATAAATATAACAAATTCATAATTAAAATGTCATACCTACGATTTTTACTTAAATTATTAAGCTCATTAACAATTGAATCTAATAATAAATATCAACTTAAGAACTTACTTATTGTTCTATAACTGTTAATTTATTTATTGTTTATTTTTTTCACAATACTTAAGTCCAATAAAGTATGATTATTTATTTTTCAAATAGTCCGTGCGGCCGAGGGTCATTTAAAATACAATTTATATTTGTATATAATTATGTCTATGTACTCATTCTATTTTGTTTAAATAATAAAATTCTATCAGAAAAATCCTACTATACAGATATTAATGCACTTAATTAAAATTAAATCAAGCTTTTGATAAACCAAATTGAATAGATCTACAGTCACGCCGTCAAAAAATGAACTAAGTGTAACCTTCGTTGAAATTATAACAATTAAATTATAATTTTTGTGACTCGCGACCATCGGTGTAATAATTAAATAGTTCAATAAAATAAAAAAATCAAACATTAATCAATTAATAGTATGAATATCGATAGCAAAAATTAAAATTGAAAAAATATTCAACGCGAATTCTCAGTATTTAATTTTTTGTCATTGGTGAATTTTAAGAAACTCTACTCATTTTAATAGTAATTAAGATTTTTTCCATGTAGAATATATCTTATAATTTTTTCAACTTTTTGTATTATTGAATGTTTTCCTTTCTATTTTAAGATCCGATTTTAAGTGGCACGAATTTCATTTTAATTTTAAATTAATGTGAGATATAATGCTGGTACAGTTTGTCAGTGTTGTTGATTATGGTAACATTTTCATAATAGTTCCGTGTGTATAACAAACAACAGAAACGTTAAATTTCCAAATCACATACAATTTAATCCCAAAGCCATATAGTGTAAACCAATACCTTATCTTATCACGGAATTTAGTATAATATTACATAATATTAAACAGAAGTAATAATAAGTCCCAACTACCAACAAATATTAACTAAATCTATCTCCAAAACATATTTTTTTATTATTTATGATTTTTAGACTTTAGTCAACTTTTAGCCATTATAACATGATAATAGGTTTTTACACGCAAATTTGAAAAATATTGCACGTTATATTTTTTTTTTTATATAAATAATATCACGTAATATTTTTTTTTATCACATAATATTTTACCGAAAATTACATTTTAAACGCATAATCAGATAAAATGTGTCCCCCTTATTCCAGGACTTAAATTTCAGGGTTCCAATTACAAAATGTCAGTTGGCACCCCCCGTGAGTACGATTATGAACTTTTCAATACCCCGATTTTTTAAATTTAAATGCATATACAATGAAATTTTTTAAAATTTTCCAAAACTAGATTTTTTTGCTTAGACACTCGTAACATTGATGTTGTAAAGTTGAATTTTAAAACAAAAATGATAAATCATCGAATTCAAAAAACAATTCGGAACGGAACTCTTTCACAACAATGCTTAATATAATGTCTTTCAATAACACTCCCCTCTAGTTTTCTTTACGCTTATAAAAATATTCAAAGGATCATCGAAACTTAAATTTCAATCGATTTAGAGTTGTACTTGAAATCTTTTGGGTACATTATCTTCTACCCCAAAAAGTATATTTGAGATGAGATTAATTTAAATTTAAATAACGTCGTAGAAAAAACCAATACATTATTTGATACGCTAGAAATGAAATACTTTAAACCCTAAAATAATGTATATTTCATTTTAAAAGTAAAATATGATTTTTAAATGTGTAGAAAAATAAATACAGGATACTGAATGTATTTAAAATTAATGTATGATAAATAAACAATAATAATTGTATATAAATGTTGTCCATCTAAAGTATTAGCATACGTTGAATAATTGCATTATTTGCTGAAGTAAGCTTTCCTTAAGTATTATTTAATAAGTATCTTATTATTTTTATTAAAAATATTTTACAGAAAATGAGATGGAGAGAATAAAAATACCGTGATTCATTTTAAGCCTAATTTGAAGATGGGTGAATGTAAATCAACTACAAAAACTACATCTGTTATGATGGCATTACTATTTTTGATCATAGATCCTTGCGGTAAGTAAAAACTAATAACTGTTGTCATTAAAATTTATTTAAGTATATATGTATAATCCTTTTCGAGTTTTTACTTGTTATGTATGTCTAATAATTAAAAATATATACTATACGAGTACGTATAATATGGTTCATCTCTGAAATTATGTTTAATAGAGTATTAGAATATAATAAAAAAATTAAAGTTCAAATCACCAAAATGCTTCTTATTTTAACGGAAAATAAATTGTTGGATTAATTCATATTTTCTGATATATTCACATAAGGTTTTGGAAAACCATATAGTATTCCATGCACGATTCAACGTACGAATGTTGAATTTAAAATAGTCAATCAGAAAATTATCAATTACCTACCCTTACACAAAAGAGAAATAAAAATTTTAAAATTAATACTATAACTATTGTAGGATATTACTAGAATTTAGCAAACATTCTGTACCTTGTATCTATATTATATTATAATCAAAAATATTAAAGTAATATCAACAAATACATTTACAATAATGTTATAATTTATAAATAAACAAAATATATTATGATAAAATAATTGAAGTTTTCTTTTCTTTTCAATAATTAATAATCACCTATATACCTGAGTACTTGTTTCCTAGTTCTTTTGCATTCACATTTAAAATTTAGAATAATAGATACAATTTATAAAATATATAAATTATTATTATTTATTATGAATCTATTCTAAATCTAAACTAAAACATGCTTCTACAAAATTAAACTAAATCCTTGAAATCGACTCTTCTAATTTAATAATTGATCGTATTATTTTTATACTGTGTAGGTTTGACTAAGGCTTTAATATTTATCAACCAAATTATAATTAAATTAAATAATAACTTTAATCGATGGAATGATACATTTTAAAAAGGTAGGAAGTACATTACAACATCATTCAGCCCAGCCCACCGTTTTTGGCAAGCCATACAAAAGCGAGTGTCGTGTTAAATTTTAAAGTGACTTATCCGATTTGAAAACAAATCTGAACCAAACTCAGTTTACAACAATGATTATGTTGTTTTAAAACTTTAAGGAGAAATTCCATGTATGACTCGTGGACTACATTGGTATTATGTAGCGTAGGGTGATATTTCAGCTATCACTATTGTCCGTTTACTTTTTATACGTAAATATATTGTTGTGTAATATACTAATGTAATAATAAAGTTCTAGTGCAAGAAAGTTGAAATTTGCCATTTTCAAAGTACATTTATACGACCACAAAATATCTATATTACTTTTTTCATTCGTGATTTGAAATTTCTAATATTTCACTCAAATTTTGATATTTTTCATTCAAAACTTTTTTTAGTAGTGTAGGTTACCAAATAAGTCGAATATTTTTTATTTTCATTCTTTATTGACGGAAAGAACTCCACTAGAGGAGTTTACAAAATAATCTGTATATAAATACGTCGTGTATTACACACAATTAACATTAAAAAAAAAAAAAACTAACAAACAAAACTATAGCTAGAACCAATTACATAACAATTAAATTATTCATAAACAATAAGCATATCGTAACATGAATTTTTAACTGTAATTTACAATCGCAACTGAAATTTACTTCCATAGTATTTCTTATGGTCATCAGTATAATTGCTGGTGATAATCGTAAATAATTCTTAAAAATATTATTAATTAAAAAACTATTTTAATTTCTTGTAGATTTATTATTTATTCGAAAATTTAATTGCTCCAACAAAAAAAAAACAATATATGAAATTGTTAAATAATTTTGGTAAAAATTTTTAGTTGAGGTTCTTACACTCATCTTTCCTTTGGTGATTCTGAGTTATAACGATAATATGTCATTATACTCTGTATGTCGTGGGGGTTCATCTTTTAATTTTAAATATAAGAAACTGAGAAAACGATTTTGGACTGCTTCAAGATTTTGAGTTGTACAAATTTTATCTGAGTTCTAAATAAAAGAGAAATATTCTAAATATGATCTAACAAATGTAAGATAAAAATTTCTTAAAGCTATTTGCCAAAATGTAAACATTAAGAAGGCTTTATTTGTTACTTTTTCCAATATGAGTGTTGGATCATAGTTTAGACTGTTTAAAGCACATGAGTGTTCTTAAAAAATTTGATGTAGTAAATCGTCGATCTTTTTGAAAACCATGTTGAACATAATATAAAAATATGAATAGGATATTGTTTTATTCGTTTCATTTGAAAATACTTTAGGTACCTAGTATATTGAAATATTTTAAATAAGGCGGTAGTTTATTACGGAAGAAGGATCACATTTCTTAAAGATTGGGAAAATATATATACTGTTTTTCAAGTTGAAGGAAATATACCAGATTTTAATGACTGATTAAATAGAAAAGTTATAAGAGGTGCAAGAATAAAATGACTTTCACACACAAATTTGACTGACAAATTATCAGGGCCCATCACCAAGTTTGATTATAAACTATCGAGTTCATCAAAGACGTATGTAAGTTCTGTCTTAATATTATTAATACAGAAAGATATTAAATAGTCTGAGTGACCAGTGGGCAGTGGCAAACTTGATAGGGGTTCTTTGTATAACTACACTCGAAAAAAATACCAAAAATAGTTGTTAATCGGTAGTGTGCTTTAAGATTTTTTTGTCTTTAAAAAATTTCCAAAAGTATTTAGGATTATATTTTATAGAATTTTGTACATAGTTTTGTAGATAGTGAGTACACAAAAGATAATTAATTTTAATATTTTTTTTATGTTTTGATAACAAAGCTAAAAAATATTTTTTTTTAATTAATTATTTTAAAAAAAAATTGAAGAAAGCCATTTTGTGGAGTTAATTTTTCTGAAAATATTAATGTTTCAACATTTAAATTTTATTAATCTCTAGATTTTCAATGATTTTTCTAGTTTTGAGAAAAACTGAGAATTATTTGACACGTCCGTCCTACCAAAGTCGTATCTTTGATTATGGTCATAGTCCATATATCATTAATATGGTAGGACGATGTCAAAAAATTCGCAGTTCTTCTCAAAACTAGAAAAATTATTAAAAATCAGGAGATTAATGAAATTGAAATGTTAAACAAATAGTGAGTTCTACAAAATTGCTATCATCAATTTTTTTTTTAAATAATTAACTAAAAATTATATTTTTTAACTTTTTAACCAAAACATAAAAAATTAAAACATGAATATTATTTGTAGTGCTTGTCAATGTGAGTCTTAATAAAAAAAACAGAATCATGAAATCTCCATTATTTCAGGAGATATCGCAATGGGTAAATCCGCACGGGACACCCTGTAGTCACTATCCCTAATTTTTTTTAAATTTGTTAAAGTTGAAAAATTTAATATGATCTGAAAAAAGATAAGATTAAAAGCTTAGATGACACAAGTTTTTTTTTCAATATTACATTTTAATTCGTGGCTTAATCATATAGGAAAATTAGAATGATAAGAAAATATGAATGTATTGGAACATAATCATTCAAAATTGAAAAATGTAACTTATGCTAGAATTTATACCTTTATTAAATAATTTTTTTTTTGTTTTTTTTATTGAATTAACTATTAATATCCAAAATAACTTTAAAATCAAAAAAAATCATATTTTCCATACCTTACTGTCATGTATTGGTTTTACAATAAAGAGTGTTTTTGTACATTTTTATCACTTTTTAGAGCAATCAAAATGCTTCAATCTTAAACTAATTGGTACTTTTAGGGATAAAAACTAGAAACCTTAAATATTTAAAATATTAAAATACCTATTTCTAATACTATATTCAAAATATTAGCATTTTATAGACATTTTTTTTAATTTATTGATTTTTTTTAAGCTACTTATAGATATTTGAAATTTTAATTTTGACAAAGTTGGATATTTAAACGAAAATAAACGATACGAGTACCGAGTATACTCCACATTTAGAGGCCTAGATTTTAGCCTGTTATCTTTTGAAATACTTTTGCAATCTCATAAATTGTTAGGTAAATTTTAACTTTTCAAGTACGTAAATACGTTTTATATTCAACTAAATATGAATAATTAAATGATATTACCTACATTCCAATGTTGAAGAACTTTGATGTCCACACCGTAAATGATAAAAAGACTCAAGAAAATTCGTACCTAGTTATTCTCCTTTGATAAAAATGAACTGATAAATGCTCGATAACATTTCGATGCTTTCCTCTATCCAAGCAGTTGCAGCGAGTAATGAACGCTATCTTATTAGCTGACGCCATCACTAATGCCCATAGTTACCACTCACCAGTTGCCACAGTTTCGTGCTTGTTTTCTGACCTAATTCCTTTACTCATTCAAATTTTATGCTTTTAACCATCGCAATGGTTTTATGATTTTTAATACAATTAATAAGTTTTTAGTGACTTACAGTAAGAAAACATATGTACGAATCAAAACGAAAATCCTGGTGGATGTTATAATTTATACTTTATAACAATTAACAACCATTTTAATTGTTCATATTATCGATGGATTACACTAAAATAAGTTATAAATTATAATAATATAGTATAGAGATCAAAACTTTCAAAACATTATTAAAATTAATTACAATCTATAGATACTTAAACATCGTATACCTATTATAAATATTAAATTTATCTCAGATTACACGTATTTTGTAAAGCGTAATTAAGCGTTCATTAAAAAAGCTTAAATTGTTGTATATTGAAATCATATAATAGAGATTTTAATTATCAATTGACATAACTTGTGCTATTAAAAACAGAAAAAATACAAAAATATTGAATCATGGATAAATATTAATCCTCAAAAAATATTTAAATTATACAAACATAACATACAAAAAAAAATTTTTGATGCTTATTGTAGTACCCATTTTTGGACTTCAAAACAAATACTTCATCATTCAAAATACATTTTACATTAAGAAACTGCACAAATAATCAATTTGAATGAGTAAATATCGATAAAATAATGAATAGAAAATGCATGCTATTAACATATTTTAGTATGAGTAATTCACCCTTAGAAATTACCCTTGAATATTTTCTTCAAAACTTAAACATATTGTTCTTATTAATATTATATTTGTTTTAAGATTTTATTTTACCAGCAAGTTATTAAACATGAAATAAATTATTTGATACTACCTATTCAATATAAATGTATTAAAATTTATAAAAACATGTTATAATGCGTCGTTAACAATTCTCGTTGAGAATAGAGTTTTTAAAAAAGTAATGTGTCTACATAAAATGATTTTAAAAACACTTGAGAGCAATACAAATAATTAATTTCCTGAAAATACAAATTTGATGTAAACACAAGATACATACAACATCATGGTTAAAAATATTATTTGTTTTTGATAGTCTTATGAGAATATAAGAATAGTTTATTATTATTTAATATATCAATAAATATACTTAATTATTTAAAATTAATATGGTTGCAACAAAATATAATTTGATTCCTTTAATTACTTAAAAATAGTAGATAGAGGCATTTCAATATTTAATTAGAAAACTATTTTAACTTAATTTTAAAAAATGTTCTGCGCATTGTAACCGTTCAGTTATACTCACCAGTAAATACCAGTAAATACCCACCTATAGTACAGATTAATCTCAGGTAAATGGGTACCACTCTATAGGTAATTTTACTAAGGATTATTATTATCCAAATATTGAAATGATTAAAATTCATAATCTATAATGATGATGCTTTGTCACGACACGATTACAAAAATTGTCTCCTCAATTTATAATTGTTTGTAATTTAGAAATTGGTGAAGCAGTTCAAATGCTTGGTGTAAAGGTGCCTGCATACATATTTATGGGAGACTCTGTACAATTATTTTGTGATTATGATATGCAAATGGACAAATTGTATTCAGTTACCTGGTACAAAGACAATGAAGAGTTCTATCGGTACGTTCCAACATCCAACCATCTCAAACACAGTTACAATATGGACGGTATCACAGTTGATGTAAGTATTTCATATTTTGCGGTCATTCGACATTTAAAGTTACAAAAATAGTAAATATTACATTCAAGGTACATCATTTTCATGGATACACACATAGTAATAATATTTTTTTTTTTAATTGAACTTAAGCTCGGCGACTAAAGCCATTAGCTGTTGTAAGGGTTATGAACTGTGGTAGGAGTAAGGTTGGTACGGTAGGTTGTTTTTACGATTGTTACGCAAACACGTGTATGCGTGGCAATGTTTTTAATTACTATGAACCCGGGTGGTCACCCATCCGGGAGTTAGTAGCCGTTACTTACTCCCATTCGCATTCCGCAACTGGTAGCAGCCAACGCGCCACCCCAAGCCACAATAATAACATTAAAACTATTAATACACCTTAAATTATCATGATCAAATTGTATGTTATGGTTATTGGCACGGTATATAATAATATACCGTGGTTATTGGTTATTCATTTAAATATATTTTCACTAATTATGACAAGAACAAATATGGAATACTCTCATTTTTTTAATTCAAAGAAAGATTAAGAATGAATAACTTTCATTATAAAACATCATTCACCAAATGATCATCAGTTATTAGCGTCAGACACTCGTGAATGGATAACACATAAGTTGTATACTTCTAAAAGTTAAATAATACTATAAAAATAACAATAAGATTTGAGTTTACATTTTTAGTATCTCATCACTAACAGTATTAATATTTACTTGTAAGTCAATTATTAGTTAAAACCACTTAAAACTAATATGTCGAAAATGTTATACTTAAAATAAAAACTCAAATCCATAAAATGTTAAAATTGAGAATACCACAATCAGCTATAGAAATTGTAATATAATCGCTACTTTAAACATATCAATGCTCTTATGATGTTATTGACAATTTCTACTCCCTTACACTCATTGTACATTTTTTTAGAGGGTAATGAAGATGGATTCTTTACAATATTTAAAAAAAATAAAAGGGGAAAAAATTACATTTTTATAAATTAATCACAAAGTCAAATACCTATTCCTACTGTTTTCTTAACCCTTTTTCTTATAATTATCATATACCACCATAAATAACTCATTGTACCATTTTCGAATGCATTACATATTTTAATTCTACGTAAAAATAAAAAAAAAAATTTTAAAGTGTAAATGAAAGGAGTGGATTACCTACACCACGAAATTTGTGGTATGCAACTCAGCTAATCTAAAATTTAAAATTTGCACACAAAAATAACCATAACCATAGTTCAATAATTAATATTTATACTAATATTTATAAACTTTTTATTAAAATGTTATGCTTCAAATTATGACATTGAAGATAATATAGTTTGGCGTCTAAAATTCAAAACTTGATAATGGGTTTACCAATAAACAAATAGGAGAAAGTATCAGTACTAAAAATATTTAAATTGCGTGTGACTTATATTTTTCAACAATATAATTCTTATCAAAATAATGAGTATTCACTGAAAAAAAATCCTATTGTAGGTGTACTCTATACAAGAGTTAAATAATAGAAAATTAGGAATATATAGGGAATATTCAATATTCCTTCAATTTCTCTGTACAGCAGAAAATTAAATTAACTTAGCAACGGTTGTGAGAATCAAACAATTGATATAGCCCAAGGTAACCTACGTACTTACTTTATACTTGTGTAGTCGTGTATATAATAGTTAGATAGTATTAAAATATACGATGTACATTGTAAATAGTTTTAGTTAGGTACCTGTAAATAAGTACTACATACCTAAACAAACCAAAATCGATATTTTATCAAATCTAATTACTTAAATAACAAAATCATATAATGTTTTAGTTTTGATGAGTTAAATTTACTAAAATAGAACAAATAATTTAAGGTTATCTTAACAGCGAATTATAAGTCAAACCAAAACATATTTATTAGGAACAGATGAAATGACATGAAGATAACATACCAACATAGCAGATGATATGACAACAATTATAATACATTTGTATAAGTATAAAAACTTCAAGAACAAACAATTAAAATGAGTTTTAGTATGTTTTACTTATGGTTAGGTACACAAACGGTCTAATGAATTTGCTTATTTTCCATTTTTTGTTGGGAAGTATGTTTAAAAGAAATATATATGAGTTCGATAATTAATGTATTTTAAAATAATTAAATATCGAGTAGAAATAACAATTTTAAATTTTATTGTTAAAATTGTTTCTGAGATTAATTCCTGAGAAGTATTGAATTATCTGCATAGGTAATTACTTATTCAAATATACAATATACCTACATTTTCACCAGTTAAAGTAATAATTGAAAAAAAAATGAAAAGAATATAGAGATAGTATTTGTTTGTTTTCATTGTTTACCATAACAAACAAACAATGTATGCATCACTCATGAGTCATGAGTTTTATATTTTGATCGATCTACTGTTATGGTAAAAGGCAATGAACCATAAAAAGATAAAAGGTATAATTCAAGATGCTAATTATAGTTAAGTTAAAAATCTACCAATTATAATTCAGAGATTAAATAAATGTATAGATTGATTATATAGATATATAATTTGTGCATCGTCTGTATGTTTAGTTCTATATATAAGTACCTACATCAAATAGCGTCTACCATTATAGTTAAAATATTATTATGATACGCGATCATTGAGAGCATATTTTGTAATATTAAGAATTTACATGTATGAAATCCATATAAAAACACGTATATTTTCAATTAAGTTTTCCTTGGTAGATAGTACTGGTTAGGTTATAAAATTTGGTGATTGTATTATAATATAACATTTTAAACTTACTATCGTATCAACTAAAAATACTAAACGAAGTCTGGAATTCGCACTTGAAAATGTTTACCCACCTCACATGGTTGATGAATAATGATAAATGAATTAAATGAATTACATGGTTCTAACCATGAAATACGTAACAATAAGGTATCTTTTGACTCTTTGCAGAGTGATACTTTGTTTCGGTTTTAGAATGCAGTTTTGATTTGTACAGCACAAAACAATGACACAAGGGAATTATATTATTAATTACGGACGTTTATGTTTGTTTCGCAACTGTCAATATATTTTAATACACGCTGGCCCGTGCAACTGAAGCTAGAGCTAGCTGAGGTATCCATTTGTCTATTATTACTGGCTAAAACCGCAATTTAATTGTCAAAGCTTGTGTAATTAGTCGCCACCTAACTATAGAAGCCAACGTGATAATATTAAAATGACGAGGGCTGTTGCAGAAGTGATTACGTAGCCCTCTCTCCACTCTGACACCGTAACGTCTGCTGATGACATCGCTATATGTAATTCAACACATTAACCCATGCAGGTTGTTACAACTATACAGATTACCGATAAAACTATTTCGTTAAGACCATCTTCGTTTTTCAGTAAAATTTTTCAATTATATTTAAAATAATATATTTATCACTGCCTATTTGTAAATCACGAGTACTTGATAAATTCGTATACCTAAATGTTGTCGTGAATCAATAAATTGTTTGTAATAATAATGTCAAGCAAAATCCTTATAACTTAAGAATAAAATCTAGAAACGGCCCACTGGTAGTGCAAATAAAAAGAGTAGGTATAACGTGATTTTTAGGTTTTATTAATATATTAATACCTTAATTGATTGAGCTTTTTGGGAAGTGTCTTAACTTTGCAAAAAAAATATGTACGTTTAATATATTAGGTTCCCTCTTATAGTCATTTTATACTTGACATATTTTTCTATCGTAATGTATATTTTTGAAACATTTTATTGGTTTTGAATTAAGGAATAGCGCATACGTCTTAAAATGGTTTGCTATCAAAGTTTTTTTTAAATTTTGCATTTTGAGGCATCGAAACATCTTTAATTTTTATGCTAACATTTCTCCGCAATGGTAATCCAACACAGATTAGACGGGAATAAACCGCACCAAGAATAATAAACAAGTTTTCATGGTGAGCATCATAATATGAACAATTTTGTTATTTTTATTTCCTATTGCATACATTATTCACTTATATCAACTCCATGTCTCCATTTGTTTGATTGTATGGGGTTTAGCTGCTTATTTGCTGTTAAACTTGTCTCATTTTTATTATTAAGTCATATAAATATAATAATATTGGTCAATAATTTTTTACGCATTTCCGACAAGGGGTTTAATCGCGTATCAAAAAAAAATATAAATAATCAAATGACTAATCACATTTGTGTCGTCCGTGGTCTGTCCATTCGTGAATTGTGAATAATTTACTAAATATTCGACGGTTTAAAATTGATGTTAAAATCATCAGAAGTTATAGTTTATATTTAAATCTATAAATTTAGAACTTACACAATATTTAAAATTATGATTTGCAGCATAGTTACTCGGACAGCAATAAAGTCACCTTGCGCTACGCTAATTTGTTGATGAATGGCGAATACAAATGTGAAGTATCTGCTGAAGCGCCGTTCTTTACAACTGTGCACGCTGAATCCAAAATGGCCATAATAAGTAAGCATACTTAAAAGTGAATTATTTAAGTTTAAACAAAATATTTATATAAAATTATTAGATAAAAATTAGTTTCAAAATTCAATTATAACGTTGTGCAACTTTTAAATTATATCTTCATAAAATATAATTTAATTTTAAGTAATTGATTTAAATTAAATTTGTTGTGTAGGTATAAATAAATATTAAATAGTAATTACTCATAAAACTGATTACTTATAGCTATTTGTATTTTACATTTTGAGAGTATATCATGTATATTGTATAATGTATGTATATTTATTCATATATTTTAAATAATATATAAATATAAATAAATGTTTGTCCACGAGTACATATTTGAACTAGTAGTCAGACTAATAAGTTCTTAGGTAAACATTTATTGACTTAAAATTGTTATTCTCACACAATATTTAAGAAGATGTAATACAACACACATCATTGTAAAATCAATACATTCATCGTTCCTCAAAGAATCTAAAATATGCAGAAATAATAATTATAAGTAGATATTCTAAAGCTGATCAACTTGTATAACTATAGGTATTTATATACTATAACATTATATTAATTGCTAACAATGTTTTAAATTAAGATATAATTTGATATTATTTATACAATGTAGGTAGGTACGCCAAATATATATATTCAAACATTTTGATTGGGATAAGTCATTATTAGTTTTACGTGATCCATTAAAGATTTTTGTTCTTCTTATCTAAATTGACAAACTTGAAACATTTTAAAAGTTACAAAAACAAAATATTTAATCTAATAACACTTAATTTGTATTATAACATTTTATAAACGATGCAATATAAATATATTCATTTAAAATACCGTTACACATTTTTAAGATCAGATAAGCCTAATTTATTATTTTTATAACTATATAAAATGTTATGATGGCTAATTCGGCTTTGCTAATAGGTACTGTTAAATATTCGTTAATTTTATTGTTTGTCGATAATTTTAAATATTAATAAAAATAATAATAAATAGTGTTTATCAGAATGAATTACCAAACAAATAAATTATTAAAAATATAATATCACATCAATCAATCACAAATTGCTTTATATATTTTTCCACAAGATAGCAACATCTCGCGTAGTGGATATTTTTGCATAATGCATATAAAAAAATATAAGATACTAGAAAAATAAGAAAAGTGTATGAATATTTAAAAATATATAAGCATACAGATAATACAACAGGAACTATTGATCCTTGCATAGTTTTTAATTAGTTAAATATTATAAAAATAAAAATAATAAACAATTATCTGTGTATTAATTCCCTTAACTAAATTTTAGATTCAGTTATTGAAATAACTCTTATTTTAAAACTTATTACTAAAAAATAATAAAATGACGTATGAATCTCCAAAATCAAATCGTTTTCACATAACGAATTAAAAACATTGTGCACACCATTTATTTCATATAAACAAATGAGCACACGACGATCAATAAACATGAAACTTAATGTTATGTTTTTTTCTTTTTTTAAATCAAATTATAAAATTATTATGGGTATAAAATAGGAACATATAAATTTAGAAATCAGTATTTGCAGAATCGAATAATATACTTCTGTCACAAAATGAAGAATCAACGATAGCTTGCGTATATAAATAAGAACAACCGTGTTTATAAAACGAAATTGTGCATACTTAGCAATCACCTTAATCGTGAGAATCAGTAAAGGTTTTTGCCTTAAACAAGGAAGCTATACACAAAATCGAATACATCAATGTCTCGAAGAAAACTCATCGGGATAGAGCCGTTAATATTAATTATGTTTTAGTACTCTTCCTCTGTGTACACATCGTGTGTCCTCGAAGTATTTCAGCGACGCCTTCTTACTATAGGGACCTGACAGCGTTGTTATTATTATGATGGCCCCTTGAAAAATGGTCACAGGCTTACACTGCCATAACATCGCTGCACAATACGTCGATTTCCCTTACCCAATTATTTTAATAGCCCATTCACAACGAATGTATACGCGCTACTATTAAACGTCCGAAATGACTAAGTAAAAACACGTAACTTTGCACTTTAACAAAACCTTTATTGTGTATCCCGTTTACCTGCCTGACTAAAGCCACACATGGTACACTCCCCCCCCCCCCCACTTGGTAGTTTTTTTGTACATTTTCAGTAGGTATGCATTTTTTATGTAACGAGTTGTGAGGATATTGTCGTTTACATAATAGCTTGTAAAATGTTGAACATACCTATATATTTTTACACATTTTAGACAACATAATAATGTAAACTTGTCATAAGCATATAAACAAATTATTAAATATGTATTTTGTTAGTACACATTACACACAGTCCGTTTTAAACACGCGTATTACCGAATATTAAAACACCTAGGTGATGTTTCAAACTATAATAGATAATAATTAAAAACACGCTTAGCCAAGGAGGATTTTTTTATTTTATTTTAATTTTGAAACAAATCATAAGAAACTTTTGTTACTTACCTATTTATACCCTTATACCCCTGCAAAGCGTTTTTAAATTAAAAATAACAAAAAAACTACACGCCGTCGCTATGTTACAATAATATTGTTCATTATTCTAATCTGAACATTTGACAATAGATAAATATGAATATTCTCTATTATTTACCGTAATACCAATGAGATATGTAAATTGTAAATGTCTATGTCATATACCTGCTGACGCGACTACGAGTGTGTTATACTAAGATAACAAATGAAGATGAACGATGAACCATTTAAAAAAATATTACGATAATATTATGTAAATATTTTACAGGTTCATGATTTATAAAATATGTATTTAGGCATTTAGCTCTTAATTGCTACGTTGTATTATCCACTTAAAACAGCGGTTCAAAAAAATCAAATAAACCTTAAGGTTAATGTACTTGAATTTTTGTAGTCACATTTATAAAAATCTACCAACAAATATCAAACAGTATCCAGGCCTTTTTTCATAACATTTTATAAAATAATATTTTTTCTTTTAAAAAGCTTAAATAAACAATAATATAGTTGTTCATATTCATGAAAATTGTAGTTATTTCATTATAATGACACATATTATAAATAAATAGAAACCAGTGCCACAACTATACCGAGAGTGCTGAGAATACATTACACCGCCTAAGACGCCTCATCGTTTTATGAGACGGCCCTCAAGATTTCGACACTAAAGTGAATTAATATTTAATACATATAAATTTGTTATTGTTCTAAGATTTCTGTAAATAAATCTAGAAGTTCAATATTTTTAAATGTATAAGTATATTAAGAAATACTACAGTCTACAATAGCCTATTGCCATAAGAGTAGAACTAAAATCTTATCATTTTTTGACACGTTTCAAGATATATTCAATTTTTTTAGTATATAGGTAAACAAAGTTAGGTTTCCTCAATATTTGGTTTACAATGTACCTAGTATAATAAGAATAAGTTCAAAAAAAATCTGAAAGTAAAAAGATTGGGCAACGAGACAGAAAGCAAGACGTAATGCAGTCTACACATTATAACACAAAATAAATAGATGTCCTAAAATCATTAACCAGTACAGAGAAACGAATAAAAAGTATAGGATTGAAAAAAAATTTATTTTTGAATTATTTGAATTTATTTTACTGTTGATTATCTGGAAAAATATTTTGAAACCATTATATACAGTGTCTACGTTATAGCGATTGCCAATTATTTTGCAAATACTATTGTTTACCAAGCGTGTGCCTATTACAAAATTATGTTGATTCCATTAAAATATAAAGACTAAATATAATGATAAATTTAGTGATTTCTTCAAAAATATTGTGTGCAAAGAGGAGAATATTCACTTAATCAAAAATGCAGTCATGTATTTTCCAAAAAACAATTTAATCAAACGGATGGAGATAAAAGACTTGATATTACTGAAAAAATTATTCTGGTGACTTTATTTTTTCCGTTTATTGACACTGCATTGGTACAGTTACAAGTAAAGCCTGAAGACAATAAACGATAATTTTGAATTACAACTTAGACCTTCAATGATTAAAGAAACTAAAGAATCAGAGTTAATAAAATCCGAGTGTACTTATATATATATATATGTAATATGTATATATATAACTTTATTAAGTTTTATCAAAATTACATTAGTTTCGATTTAACTCGACAACTTCTATCACTTAAAGAGTATTTGGAAACTACAAAAATTAAAACATTAAATTAACTTTGTGAGATTTTATTCGGAAAATGATCTCTTTTCAGTATATGATAGTAACATAATGAGGGCCTGTATTATTATTTTAAGTTTGCCAGTAGGTAACTGTCGTCCGTCGCATCTGACAAACGTTCCTTTTCAAAATTGAAACTAATAAAAAATTATTTGAAAAATTCTACCAGTCAAAACCGATTATCTAATATTGCAGTACTCGTGAAAATACTGCATAAAAAAAAGATAGGAATTAGATAACCAAAAAATTATAATTGATTTTGTCAATATCAAAACAAGAAAAACTAATTTTCTTAAATGATTAAACTTATGCTCTAATCACTTTTTTTTTTTAAGAAATTCAAAATACCTTAACATGCTAATTGTTATATATTGGTTAAGATTTTTCTACTAATCCCCTCTACCCATGATATAAAAGTCATGATAAGCCACTTAACATAAATACTTACCAATGTCTTTAGTATTGAATCCAATGATATAAACACACTTATATTTAACATACTTACTGTGCCGTCTTAAACCTAGATTTTTGCCCCAATTATATACTTTACATTTTAAACTAATAGTGAAAACTATACCACTTCTATACAACAGAGAAAGCCCTCATGGTCCAATGGCGTCATTTGGAAGGCGCAAGGTATAGGTATATATTTACACGTTTAAAATTCAATATAATTGCGATTTAACATATCTATTTAGATATCATTTATATTAACCTAGCAAACTTCTTAAATTGGTTGGCCTGTAAAAAAAAATAAACTCCAATCAGATTTTGTGACCAACATCAAATTATGCTAAAAATATGGGAATTAAAAAGTATTTTGAAATGACGCTACTGTGTTTTATCCGCTTTAAGAATAATATGTTAGAGTTTGATAAGTACAAAAAATATATTCAAAAAACTGTTGAATGTCTAAACATAATAATAATCTAAATCTAATTATTTAATTCATAATTAATAGTAGATCGTACATTTTACTCACTTATTTTCGTTGATTTTTGTTCAAACATATGAATAGTAATTATTACTACTAAATAAACTAAGAACATATTTCAAAATTACCTTTGTTTATATCGTTTCTTCTGTATAAAATGAATTAATTTATAAGTATAATATAATATTATGTTTATATTTTAGTAAATATTTATCCTTTAATGTTTGTTATTTACGGTAAATTAATTTACGCATCAAGTCTTATTTTTAGATAAAAAATATAATAGAAAGATTAAATTAATATCTCGAATATATCATTATTATTTCAAAACAATAATCATTTTCAAAATTTGAATTCAGTTTTGGCTTCCCGTCACATTTAAATTAAGTAGGTACTAATTAAAAACAATAGGTAATTTCATGTATATTATATAAATACCTATATATTATTATATTATTATATTACTATATTTTATAATATTATTATATAATATATTATATTACCCTTATACATTATATAAATATCTATCTGTGATGTAATATTCGAAGTCAATATTTTTATGAAATTACACTATAAAACATTCATATATTATGATACATTAAATTAAGTAATAAATTAAAACTAAATGTACTGATTTTTTTCAGTAGGTACTTATTAATAAACCAATGTTTGACCAACTAATTAAAAAAAATCTTACTGTATAATATTAAGTAAAATCATTAAACTTTTTATTACCTATATTAAACTTCTAAAAAAATATTTTTTTTTTATTGATCCTTAAGCCCGGTGACAATAGCAATTAGCTAAAAAATATTTAATTATTATTAACTTTATTTTAGGTTTACCAAAGTTAAAAGATATAATAAAAATCAACGGAGGCTCAGGAATCTATCAAACTAGTGACACCATTTATTTAAATTGTACATCGGGAGAATCATTCCCCGCTGCAAGACTCCGGTGGTTTATTAATGACAAATTGGTAAGTGAGATTTGTTTTGACACTTAATAATATTATAAATCAAAATATCAAACATCAATAGAACCGCATTTATGTAATACTATAGCCATGTAATATTCTATACAGGTAAATACTGTAAAGTCCTACAATAATGTAACTAATTATTCAACACTTAATTAATGAGTTGTATTCAAACTAATATTTATGGAAAAAAGTTTTTACAACAGTGTACATTTTCGTTTTGAATTTTAAAACCTTTAAAAGTTATTTACATTGAAGTCTTTTATAACAAAAAATGTCTCACGACTTTAAATTTTACCTTATTAAATACAATATTTGTAATTCTAATTAGTTGTACTGATTAGTTAAAAAAAAATATTTTTGAAATATAGAACCAGAAACTAATCATCCCGAGTGAATTCTGTTACCGCCTTTTCAATTCAACTATTATACTTCTCAATATACGATATAATGTAAAATAATTGGTTGATATCAAGATACGATTGTATAAGATTTTCTCTTAAAAAAAAAATAACCGTTCAAAATTAAAACATCAGATATTCAAATACATAAGAAAATAATATTATTGATAATTCCTTCCCTGTTTTAATCAGCAAATGTAAAATATTTTAATGAATTAAAATAAACTACCAATATACTTGTAACTTAAAAACTGTCAATAAAATAAATATTTAATTTTCACGATTGTAGATTAATAAATAATACAATTATTAGACAATTAAATATAAAATATACTTAACTAAATAACTTCTTTACTCGAGTGTGATTAAAAATTATTATAAATTATTATTATAAACATAATACAAAGATATTTGGTTACTAATAACATAAATGAAAAATGTTTTGGTTAGGTGATTTCCAATTACGACCGCTCAGAAAAACTACGCAACGGTTTGTACATCAGCATATCCAAATTAAATTTGTCGATATCTCCTGATCACTTCAACAATGGCTTAATGAAAGTTACATGTCAAGCCATCATCAATATAGGACGTCCAAAGGCGTTACCACCTCCTAAGGAATATAAACGTGAAGCAATACTCTTGGGTAAGTGCAAACATCAATTATCTGATTCCATTTAAACGCCGTGAATGTCATAATTTAAATTAAAGTACCTATGTAATTTCTATAATCAATTAATGTTAATGATCTATATTAATCTTAAAAAAGTAAACATATTTTTAATATAATATTTATAGAATGGTTTTATTAAATATATAAATATTAAATAATGAATATAGTACTAAAGGAGATGAGAACTAAAATTATATTATAATCTAGGTAGGTACTTACATAATAAACCAGTATACTAAAATTAAAAGATAACATTTATTAGAATATATACAATCTGTAATAAAGGTTACAATAAAAGATTTTAACAAATGAGAAAGACAAGCTCACAGCTTTCAGTTTTCGGTGATAGATTTGTACTGACAATTCATGCTGTAATGTGATATGAGTTTTAAAATTTGAGTTTAATACTTATTTAAATTTAATCTAAAATTATCATTTACGTGTCTGTAGAACTCTGAAATAGGATATATACTCAATATAATACATATTATTGAGTATATATTGACTGTCTATATGACTATATCAGTATAATGCATAGGTATATTGATATATTGACAATAAACCAAAAGCTATACCTCATATTGAATATTTGTATGGCTATGACAGCTATTCATTTCATCCGCATAATTATAATATCAGACATCAGTCATAAAATAAAGTGTGTCTACAGTTAATACGTACCATATGAGTTTATGACAGTAATGGTTTATAAGAACTTTAACCGATAAAAATACGAATATGAATTCAAGTTGCACATGGTTAACGGAATATATTTCATAAAATTCTAAAAAAAGGTTACTGAAACATTCAAAAGAAAATTTTTTTTTAATTTCAAAATATATTAGTAACCAGGTTTGGCCCAATTTTCTTAAAATTAATTTTTACGAGAGTAAATTAATAAGATATAAAATGATGAATCTATAAATAATCAAATTTAACATAATAATATTTCCTACTGTGTGCATTCAAAAAAAAAAATCTAACAGCGAGTACTATTACTATATTGGATCTGAATAGTATTATTTATAAAAGTAACGTAAAACGTGGATGCAATTTATTCAAACTACAAGCAACAAAAATTAAATTAAAATTAAATAAAACACTTTAGTAAGAATAATGAATGAAAATAAACAGGATTTTTCTTATTTCTGAGTTATTTTTTTTTTTAATGACTACATGAAAAACAAACAAATTGAAAAATAGGTACAAAGCCAAATTAATGATTATAAGGCAGTTTGAGAATGGATAATATCCATTAGAATATTTGAGTATGATGATGTCTTATCAACTTTAATACAAAACTTCTTTAAAAGAAATAAAATATGTAAGTTTTAGTAAATCTGTTTTAATTTATTAATAATCATAATATTTTACTTACCCATTTAAATGCAGTTATTGACCATTGGTAACTTCCTATGTCCAGACAATAAATACAACTGACCATCAAAAATTTCCATTATCAATTTACGATCTTATGCTTTACACAAACCATGTAATTACATTTTGTATAATTATTACTTATTAGTGTTATTTTTTTCGTACAATTTTTTTATTTTATCTAGTACTTACATATGTCTTTTAAAGTTTAACTTTAAATATTTTATAAAATAATCTGAATACTTGAGGGCTAGAGGTTGTTATTAATAATAAACACTATAAATAAAGGGCGTGTTTATAGTACTGTGGGAAAGGGTTATGCACAATTCAAAATTATAAAAAATAAATAGTGCACCGACACGACATTTAAATACATTTAAGATAATTTATACCTATTGATACAAATAAAATTAATAAGCACCTAATATAACTAATACAATAATAACTCAATACAATTATAAAATATTTAAATACTATGTACCATTTATAAATAATTATTTGGATATAACTATATATTATTATAGTTCAAACCATTTAATCACAGAAGTTTAGAAATCTTTTTTTCTGAAAATTTAAAATTAAAATTAAATTAAATTTATTTCATTTGTTTACATACTGTAAACGCATAAATAAAATTGAGATCGGGCATTTATTATGTTAAATAATATTTATACCTAAACAATATGATGTTATAAATAAATATGTTATTGATTTGTTTAATATTATCATTGACAGTCATCACTTACCTAATACATCAACGAGAGTTCAAGAATTACATAGTACCTACTAAAAACGTATCTTACTCCAAAGCACAAATTGAGTGAGGGGTTTATTTTTTCTTTCTTAATACAAGATAACCAAAACTGGCAGGAACACACAACTAGATAATTTTATCTTCTGTCTGGAGAAAGTAATTTTTGATTGATTCAAATCACACAAATACAAAGTATAAAATTGGCATTGAAAACGAAAAAAAGAAATTGTTTTTGTCTGTGCCACAAAAGAAAAAAATATTTTTACGGTTGTTTATAATATTGTTATGCAAAAGCTGGTTACAGTTTTTTGACTTAATTTTCTATTAATTACTAAACATTAGGGGAAGGTAGTTACTTATTTATAATATATTGAAAATTATAAAATTATATTTAGACAATAAAATCATTGTTTTTTGTATTTAGAGTAAAGTATTATTATTATCTATTAAAAAATAATTAAATATTAATTCTACTATAGCTGCAAATAAAACAATAATTACAACAAAAAGTTAAAATTTAAGATATGCAACATGGAGTTGCCCGATTGGGGCCCGAATACAGGTACCTAGTCGTATTTTATCCCAAATATAAGTATCCTGATTGCGGTCCATCCACACACACTGGTTCACAAAATAGCTTATAATTAATAAAATTAAGCATTTTGTATTAGACATATTTGTGTATGCAACTCAAATACAATGTCTCGTTTATGATTATTATCATAAATATATGAATTAGGCTAATTAAATCTTCTTTGTTGAATCTTTTAACAAAACTTTTACAACTTTAATTTGTACAACACCATTTTTCTATTTCATTTGTTAGTAACTTATGAAATCGAAATTTATGTTATGAATAAATTTATAATATATTCCACCACTTGCAATCTTACATTTTATATGATTTTTTTTTATCTTTAATGGACTGGAAATTACCACGCCGAATATTGGTGATCGTGGGAATCCTGAATACGATAGTTATAAATTGATGACGAAATACGTATTGGAAGCAATCAGGATATTTATTTACTTTTGATAACCACTGGGTAGGTAGTTTCCTACCTAATGAGTACGGGCCACAATTGGGATAGGTGCAAAGGTAAAAAGGTTACTTTGGGCCGCAGTCGGGTGACACCCAGGTAACCTGCCTAACATGCTCATTATAGTGGGACAATCATTTCTATATATTATATTTATCTAGGTAGGTTATTTACATGTTTGAGTTAGTTTTTACAAATTTAAAACAAATTTAAATATACTATTTATTAGTTACGCCAAAATAAAAAAATGATCATTCTTTTATTGCATTGTTTTTGACATTATGTTCAACTAGAATTACCGAATTACCTATATTTCTTAAGTTATTCTGTTTCAATGAACAATATTCATAGTACATACGTATTACACTATTACATATAAAACTAATATTATACATTTTACATGAGAGTTTTTCAATAAAAATAATTGTGTATAATACGAGAGGACAACGCGTTCCAAAAATAATAGTGTGAACCCCTAAAAAAACCATGCAAATTATTTATACTTGCCTGTTTTTATATACCTATTACCCTTTCTTTGTTCTTTTGTACTTGTTTTATTTAATAATTATTAATGTTAAATTGTATGCATAAATTTTAATTTAATTTTGTACAGATAAATGTACTTTCGCTAACATTAATAAATTCTCTACTTTTACTTTACAAAATTATGCAAAAAGTGTAATAATGGTGTAAAAAAATTAAAGAAGCTTTTAAAAATTACAAAATATTACTAACCTAACCAAGTGTTAAGCGTTTTACTTTGTTCTTTCTTGATTTTCTTGTATTTTTGTACTGTATACCCAACGAACATCAACACAATTTTAAAAATTAATTCAAAATAGGATTTATACTAGTTTTTTTTTCTTGTAGTGTATCTAACTTAAAATTAATAGAATGGTTGTAAATCCCCGAAGTATAAGCATAAGCGCAAATAGCGCCAGAGATTTGGGGGGCAAAAGCCCTGCTTAATAATATTGAATAAGCTTAAAACAAAATATAGGACATTTTTAGTTGGCTTAAACCCTAAAGCCCCCCTATTTGTGTCAATGAATATAAGTAAAACCCGTGCTCGAATTGGGACGCTGGGGGACTGAGTACCTCAACTAATTTTTAAGAATTTTAGGGTTCCTCTTCTATTTTTTTCGTTACAACGATGTATAAAATGTGAAGGGGACGCTAATTGTTTATAAGTAAACAAAGTACACCTTCTTAAAGTTTTCCAATCCTAGAACTGGGTACAACTAGTGATAAATATTAAAAAATTATTTGTATCTATAAAACTACGATAAAAAATAAAAATTAATTTTTAATTGATGAAAAAGAATTACAATTGTTTAATTAATCTAGTTTTGTATGTTTGATTTTAGTACGTGGATCAGCAGTAGCGATGTGCATAACGTTCAACTTTAAATTAACATTAATAACATTAACATCAACATTGTTTTTACTAAATACGTCGTGAAAATGTTAAAAATTGTTATCCAATTATTTTGGTTCCTTCATTTAAATTATGTGAAATTGTATGTTATCTTGTTATTTTATCAAAACTGTTTAATAAACTTTATATCCGTATTCCGCACGAGTTATAAGTTGTAACTATACATTTTTTGTTTATAATTTTTTTAAACATATACATATAATTTTTTTTTAACTATAGTTTAGATAACAGTATTATTTTATACAATATCCATTATACTTTAATTAATTATTCATACATATTAAGTAAATGCTAAATATAAAATTTTAAAAAATAAGACTTATCGATTTAGATTTATTTCGTGTACCTACATCTTAAAACAACAAAATTTAATATATTAATACAATATTTATAATTTCTACCAACGAGATGTACATTTCCGTAATTAATCATGTATGTTTTATATTGTAAAACAGACGAAAGTAGATATTGGTATTATGTATCTAAGAATTAGCTACTAATTTATTTAAACTTTATAGCCAAATTATATGGAAAGTAAATCACGTTCAAATATTTATTGAAATACTACACACAATTAATTTTATAAGAAATAAATATTTGAAGTGTCTTTATTTTATTTCATATTGTTGTTTTTTAAATATGTATATATTATGCATACCATCCTCGTTATTCCTTGTCAGTGTTACTCAAAATCTGATTGGAATTGCTTTAAGTAAAGTTAAAATATCATATATATATATTTATTTAAATAACGTTTTAAGAACGTCATTTATTATAGGCACAGCAAATATCATCTTGGCTTCAAAATCGAGGCAATTAAATTAAAATGACAAAACAATATTAAGAACAATAAGAACAAAGGCTTACATTTTTAAATATTAATATTTGATTTAATAGAATTTTATTAATAATTCTTCTTTAAGATACATTCAGATTTAATCAACTCTAATTTAATTAGTCTAATATAAATTATAACTATGACCCCTATTTAATTTACTCTGATATTTATTTGAATACACATTGCCATCAAATATTTTTCTTATAATTATTAAATATTTACAGATATCCACTGTGTTAAAAATTCCAATATACGAAATTTACAAATATTTAATTCTTTGGAATAAAGTTATAATTTGTTTGTTTATCCATCAGTAAGTGGTAAGACAGCAAATACATGTTAAAACTTCAAAATCTCACAAGTAAGAAAAAAGATCATCTATAAGTTCTTAAGTTTAAGGTTCCAAAACTATACATCGTATTATAATTATATACATAAATAATCATCTTAAAATATATAAAATTCAAGATGTGTACTATGAACCATCAAACTTTATTCAGCGGTTGGCAGGTAACAGGAAATCAAAAAAACATATTCTCAAACATTTTGGAATGGAGATACCCAAAAAAAAGAAGCTTCTAATCATTTTAATTATTAGCTTATAACTTTTTGAGAGTAAACTGATATCTTCACCATTACTACTGCAATTTGCAACAAGTATTTTGTTTACGTACTTTATCATTGGATAATAAATTATAGTTTTTATTGTTTTCTCTTTAACATTTTGGTAATGATGAATGGTTGAATTATGAAATCAATTCAATAGTTTTTCGATAGATGTTACATATATTTTCTATTCTAAGTACAGATCGGTTTATATTGTCATCGGTGGCCGCTTACAGTAATCCAATTTCGATTTTATAAGTTTTTCCTTACTCCAGGGGGTAAAAAATAAGAGTGAGTGTAGGTAGAGATGAAAAATAAAACAATAAATATAGTAGTTTTTGTTAGAGTTTCAATATAAAAGAGCACAGGATTACTGTAGGTATACGACACGGATAAAAGTTTTTAAAAGTCGATAAATCCCTGAGGCGACTTTCTGGATTGAAAAACTTCAAATTTCGAAGTTATACTAACAATTTTGAGCTATTTCACTAAAGTTTATTAGCTTTATTTATAGAAAATTGGATCATAAATACAGTTATATAGTTCATAGTTTTTTTTTGATTTCGTGGTGTTTATATTTAAGATAAAATTAGTTATGATCATGAGTCATGACTATTATCTTAGTTCATGGTTATTACCAGAACAAGAATAATCGTATTACAATAATTTTTTATTATTTATACATTTGATATTTTTATCAGAAAATAATTAACATATTATTTAAAATAGACTTTAAAACTAAAATACCTATACTGTATTATTCAAATTGTAACTTTAAAATTATAATAATAACTAACAAAATATGACTATTATATTTCAAATATAATGTATATAGGACATCAGTACTAAACTACTAACACAGTTAATAACAAACTCACACAGATAATTTACAATGTTCATTAACATCAAGATCCTAGATCATAATATATCCCAGTCATAGCAGATATCTACCTCGTATCTATAGGGTATATTTTTGTACAGTCGATTACGATATTTTTGGATTAGGAAAAATAAATATAGTCTTACTTGTATGGTAGGTAGTTTCCTTACAATGAAATAAAAAATGATACTGTTTTCATAATAAAAAATATGAATAGGTGCCGTAAACATCAAAATAAGATAATAGAAAACAACTGTCAACAGCACCTAAAATTACTGTCACAAAACATTTAAATCAATTATTTGATATGCATTTAATTTTAAGCCAAGCAAAAATAAATGATCAACGTTATCAAAGAATAGACTCAAAAAAATTATACTTATTTTCCACTTTTCTACTTCATATGATATAAATATAAAATATGTATATATGTAAAATAAAATATATCATGTTTACCTTTATAATATTTAATGATTCACATCCATTGTAGATATGATTCAATAATAAATAATTTACTTCAATCGAGGTTGCATAAATTACACTAAGAACTGCATCAAAAGTTCACCAATAAAATTTACCAAGCACCAGTAAATAATACAAAAACAAGAAAACACTGAACAGTAATTCAGAGTTGAGGCATTTAGTACTCTTCTGCAGTAAATCAATTGCTACTGTTTCCAGTAGGTATTCCAGGACACCGGGTTGTAGCAACAAGTTCATTAATTATTATTTTCAACTGAGAAAAATAGTAGTCATCAGTTAACATTTTAAAAGTTTATAAATAAAAATAAAATGTAAACATTTTATAACAGAATTGTGGATTGTTTGAATATGTAAGAATGCAAGATAATATTATACGCATTAATAACTAACAACAATTTTTGTAATCTTAATTTAAGCTTATTATAACTATTTAGTAATGTACCTACCAAAACGAATTTGAATGTTATAACCATTTTAATCCATATTCAACCAAAGAACAAAGGTGACAATATATATTATATACACGCATGGCGTAACTTCAGTATTTTAATTTAAGGGGATCCCGACATTTTTTACCAAAAAACGCATGTTGACACAATTATAAATTTAAACACTGTTTAATTTGCTTGGGTTAATTTATATTTAACACATAATACTAAGTTATTTTTTAAAATTGTACAGCAATATTATGCAAGAAAACCTACACATTTACCTCAAAAACAAATGGGCTGCAAACCATTTTAGAGGGCTAACCCCCCCCCCCCTTAAGTTACACTTATGTCACGGTTTTTTCTATATTAGATTTATTTTGACAAACATATTTGAAAAGATCCGGATTCCGGATTGAATACCGTGTGTTATAGGCTCTCACCGCAGTTCATCATAAGGATGTATTGTTATTGCCATAACTTATAAATGTAAAAGCAATGATAAGTCATCACATTCAAAGACGTTACTAAACGATAATTGATTAAAATATTTTCTTAATTTTTAAAATATTATTTCTAGAGTATACTGCGTAATTTACTGGAAACAGAGAATTTAGACTGATTACCTATGTTAAAGTATTTGAATATTTACCAATCATCGATACTATAAAAATATTGGATACAATGACAATAACTTTATTAACGTGAAAAAAATACGTTGGACATTGGTCAATGTTTCTGAAAAATAAATAAATACGATTCGGCAACAAACCAACAAATATTAACAAAACTACTTCTTCTCCTATCGAACGTCATACATCTACAGAATTATGATTTATGACGTTCACAAATAGTGGCATAAATTACTAATAGGATGTATCAAATAACATATTTACATAAGACACAATCATATGCGTAGATATATTATGGCCATACGCTGATCTTAAATAGTTAAATATAAAAAAAAAGGAACTATAAAGTATATATATGTCATATAAATATTCAACTACAACACCACTTTTATGTTGTATGTTTGTCAAAACGTCCTCCTTGAACTACTATATATTAAAAGGTATTATATTATGGACATATGGTATTATATAATAAGCAGGTCATATTGACATTCACTCCTAAAATATAAATGAGGTTTTAAATACAATGTAGGCACATTGAAAAAACACATTTAATACAATATTCATTACAAAAAGTTGTGAAAGTTAAACGATCGAAAAGATTATATTTTATATTTTACTACAAAAAGTCTTAGAAGCTTTTTTGTATGCAAGAGTATACAGTATTATCTAAGGTTGCATAACCTAATACATTTTTTAATAATAAATTACATAAAAAATAATGATAATTTATTGTTGTTAATAATTAGAATACGGCAAGGAAAAATCAAACATTAATGGCAACAGTGCCGTGTAGCTATTGGAGCGCTTTAAGAAGTTAAGTCCCTCGGAATAGTCAGAAATACTCCCCTCCCTTCTTCTCCAATGCCAGATAGAATTTTTAAAGGCTCAAACTATAAAACAAATAGTTCGTAATACCTATAGAAATATTATCCAATATAACTAAGTATCTGCAGTGGTCGAAGTAAGGGAGATCCGGTGGGATGGCATCCCTCCACTTTTTATAATTCACATTTTCCATCCCATCACTTATTTTGTACGACTGTTTAAGTGATATATGATAAGTATATAAATTATGAAAAGCATCCCTCCACTTGTTTTGAGTCACTTCGACTACAGAATATTCGGCGATAACTGGCTAGTGGCTATATAATATATCATTATGGAAAAAAAAACTAAGACAAAAACCAGTTGTAAAATAAAAATGTAATAAAATACAATAAGTATAATATATTTGGTACCTCGAATACCTATAAGTATAAAGTAGAGAAACAAGTAATAAATAAGATTATAATCTAAAAATTATTACTTATCACGATTAATTAATAATTATTTATTTAATTTTAGATTGAATACTCGTATTTGCTATA